GAAATAAAAAGGAAAGTGTTTGTTTCTTAGTACTATACGTCACCATCTCACCAACTCTACTGATTCTTGCATTATTTTCAACCAAAGGAGACAAACCCAAAGCAAGAGGGAGGTCTCCACCAACTCCTATCCATCACTTCCATTCTATCTAAAGCAAACTAAACCCATATTACTTTTCTTCTTCTCTTTTTTTTTTTTCCTTTTTTTTTCAGAAAATGTAACAAAAACAAAAATGGGAAAATTGTTGGCGGTGGTCAAGGATTGCAGTTTGACGTGGTATGTTGTGAGTGGGCACGGTAGGTGAGCGACAGATGCTCTGCTCCTCCGCGCTGCTCCAGATACATGTACTTAGTTGGAAGGTCTCATCATCGAAAAACTTTTAGTTGTGACGGGAACACAGATGATACACCACGTGTTTTTATATAAGTAGTTAAAAATTTTAATTTTTAAGTTATTAACATTTAACATACATAATTCACCATTTATATAGAAACATATGGTGTACCATTTAGTGTGACGGTCACATTTAAAAACCTCTCCTCAACAACACCCTCCCTCCCTCCTAAATAAGCACTCTTCCTCTCTCCTTTCATTCTCCCTCCCATTTCCCAATTTCCGCCATCTCTGTAAATTCTTCCCCTTTCCCTTGCCTCCATCTCTCTCTACTCTCTCTCTCTCTTAGCCCTCCCTCTGCTAAAGTACGCTGGTAGCTCGCAACACCCACATTTCCAGGTAATCATATCGGTCCTTCTTTTCTTTTGGTTTAATTTTCATCTTTTAGCATTCACCGACGGCGCATGTTAGCAACGACGTAGGACATTTGTTTTGACAAATGACGGCATACGTTACAAGAAAACGCGAGAAAGGAATGAGAATGATTTTTAGTTAAATTAAATACCACCAAGGACGGCGCACGTTAACAGTGTTTTGTTGGGTGCAGCGCAGGTGTGCCAGGAGGGGCCAACGAAGCACAAACATGGTGGTCAACGTTATCATGAGGGAGTCAACGATGGTAAAGCCGGCGGAGGAGACGCCGAAGAAGACGTTGTGGAATTCGAACGTGGACCTGGTGATTCCGAGCATCCACACGGCTAGCGTCTATTTCTACAGGCCGAATCAAAACGGTGGGTCCAACTTCTTCGACCCGGTGGTGCTCAAGCACGCTCTCTCCAAGGCCCTTGTGCTGTTCTACCCCATGGCGAGGCGGCTGAAGCGCAATGACGACGGTCGTATCCAGATAGATTACGGCGGCCAGGGTGCTCTGTTTGTTGAGGCGGAGACGGGCTCCATTCTCGATGATTTCGGGGATTTCGCTCCAACCCTGGAGCTCCGGAGGCTCATCCTGGCTGTTGATTACTTTGCTGGCATATCGACTTATGCGCTCTTGGTGTTACAGGTAAAATTAGTTTTTCGGATGGTCGTTTTCCGTGTTGTCGTGTAAGCTATAGGACACGTTTTTTTATTAGAGGCAGATTGTCTGCCCTCCCATTAGCATGCCCTTCACATCCCCTCCTACGTTATGCGGTCACGGTTAAGCTACGTTAACATTTTATATTGATTTTTTTTATAGAAATAATAAGACATGTTGACGTGGCTTAATCATGACCGCACAAATAGGAGGAGATGGGAAGGGCATGGTAAAAGGAGGGTAGACAATCTGCCTTCTTTTTTATTTGGTCAAACACATTTTATTTGAATTGGTCAAGTAATTAATGATCATATTTCTTGTCCTCATATAAGCATAGGACAATGCTCCATCTTGGTAGGGGTGTCCTCCTAAATTCAGCCTATGTCATGTTGGGATTAGTAAATTTATTAGTTAATTCTCTATGGATTCTCTTTGCGGAAATTTAATATCAGTTTATTACTGTGAAGTTTTGTGGTTTTCAACATTTGGTACATGAAGTTTTTTTTATCCCAGAGTCATACCTCAAGTCATAATTTTGGGACAGTTTTATACATCCGTTGTTTTCCGTTAGATCTTTTGTTAACCGATGACGTGGCACCCACGTGGACAATAACTGAGCGCCACATGTCAATATGGGCCCACTTCAATATTAAAAAATTTTAAAAATACAAAAAAAGGTCCCACCCGCCTTCTACCTCACCCAACCCCTACAACCCGCAACCAACCCCTTCCTTTCCGTCTTCTATGCAGTCGTTTCGATCGCCGGCCCCCTTAACAAGAAGCAGAAGCCCAAAATCCTTGTCGTGAAGCCCCCCCCCCACCTTTCTTCCTTCACTCCTGCGACATGCATCTACGCCTCCCCAGCTTCGATCTTTGATTCCTCTGCAACCCCGATTCTTCTCGTCCCTTCGCCAATGGAAATTAGGTTTTTTTTTTTTTTTTTTTTTTTCTGGAGCAGTGGAGAGAGAGAAATGGATAGAAATTAAGCTTTTACAAATTATAATTTGAGTGTGTTAGAGGAGATGGCAGGTTGCAGGTTGCAGAGAGAGATTTTAGAGAGAGAGAGGGGAATTCGGAAGAAATTGTGGTAGGAGGAGAAATATCCACATGGGTTAGGCTTGTAGGGATTTTAGAGAGAGAGAAAGGGGGATGGGGAAGAAATTACAATGGGAAGAAGGAAGGTTGGGGGAGACTGGTGGTGAAGGAAGGCTGGGGGAGAGGGTGCGGGTTGCAGAGGAAAGAAGGAAGGCGGGGGTTGGGGGAGAAGACAGGTGGGTTTTCTATTTTATTTTATTTTTGTGTTTTTGTATTTTTTATATTTTTTAATATTGAACTGGGCCCATATTGACACGTAACGCTCAGTTATTATTCACGTGGACGCCATGTCATCGGTTAATAGAAATTGTAATGGAAAACTTAACGGATGTATAAAACTGTTCCAAAATTAAAACTTGAGGTATGACTCTGGAATGAAAAAAAAACTTCATATATCAAATGTTGAGAACCACGAAACTTCAGAAACTAAGATTAACCCAAAAAGAAAAACATATTGATTTTTGACAATTGACTGCGTGCCCTTTAGATTTCGTATCTTTAACACGGTCAACTGATGGATCTATAGTTTAGAAAATGTGGGCTATGTAGTAATAGTATTGAGATGGTCATTTGGTAACAGAGTGATGCTATCCACAAATCTCTGTTAATTTATACCCTTTAATTTTTTTTCAATTCATTCAATTCAGCAAACGATAATTGAAAAGAATGTGAAATATAAAAAGTGGTGCACAAATAGCAACACCATGATGGGATTTTGGACTAGTGATATTGCAGGTGACTTTTTGGCTCGAGTAAAAGTCAATTTAGCAAGTAGTTGGCTTGTAAAATTTTTATGCGTGTAGACAATTTGGAGTAAACTCTGCGTTTAGATTATAACCTAGTGTTGAAAAACATACTACTTGTATTGCATATAATTTCTGAAGGCTAAAAATCAGATTTCTTAATTATATCATTAATTCTATTTGAACTTTTCCACACTTATTTAGAGGTCCTAATCTCCATGTTGATGAAAGTTCAAGAAGCTAATTAGGAAAAAAAGGGGATGTCATTGTTGTTGACCATGTTAATTATTCAACAGTCGAGCTTATAAGGAATGGTTCAGTTTTTACTCTTTGCAGGTCACGTACTTCAAATGCGGAGGAGTGTCACTTGGTGTTGGAATGCAGCACCATGTAGCTGATGGATTTTCTGGTCTGCACTTTATTAACACATGGTCTGATATAGCTCGTGGTCTTGACCTTACAATTCCTCCATTCATCGACAGGACATTGCTTCGTGGCCGAGACCCACCTCAGCCTGCATTCCACCACATTGAATACCAACCTGCTCCACTGATGAAAACCCCTCTGCAAAGCGCAAAACCTGGTGCTGCAGATACTACCACAGTCTCCATTTTTAGATTAACGCGGGATCAGCTCAACATCTTGAAATCCAAGTCTAAGAAAGCCGGGAATACAGTCAGCTATAGCTCATATGAGATGTTCTCAGGTCATGTTTGGAGATGTGTATGCAAGGCAAGTGAATTTCCCGATGATCAAGACACCAAACTATATATTGCCACTGATGGAAGGTCCAGACTGCAACCACCACTCCCACCTGGTTACTTTGGCAATGTGATTTTCACAACAACACCAATTGCTGTTGCGGGGGATCTCCAATCAAAACCAACTTGGTATGCTGCCAGCCGTATCCATGATGCTTTGGTCCGTATGGATGATAATTATCTTAGATCGGCCCTCGACTATCTTGAGCTTCAGCCTGATCTGTCTGCCCTTGTTCGTGGAGCTCATACATTTAGGTGTCCAAACCTGGGGATCACTAGTTGGGTTAGGCTGCCAATCCATGATGCCGACTTCGGATGGGGTCAGCCCATTTTCATGGGACCTGGTGGAATTGCATTCGAGGGGTTGGCATTTGTATTACCAAGTGCAACCAATGGTGGGAGTTTATCGCTGGCCATTTGTCTGCAATCCGAACATATGAAATCCTTTTCAAGGTTGTTGTATGACATATAAGCAAACGATATGCCTGAGAAGTTTAGCCTGGTTTGAGTTACGGCCAGCCAGTCATCTTCCGGTTTGCCTAAATTTTCGAAAGTGGTCGTGTTTCTTTCCTAGTGCTTTTTTGCTCATTCACGGCTAATGTCAGTGGGAATACTTATGTCGGTTGACTATTTGCTCGACCTGATATAGAACATAAGTTGTACACATCTAAGGACTTTGACAACAATTCTATTACTCATTGGAACTAAATTTACATAATGTTTAATTTTGTTATCTCACTTTGGTTGCACAAAGGATAATTGTCTGTGTTGAACCTACAATCTGGTATTAAGTTCCCAAAATTTCGGAATCATGTATGCAGAACCTAAAGATCTGTTTTCGTTTTATTTTTACTGGTGTGATCTTACTTTAGTCATATACATTTACCATGTTTCATGCTATTAATCGTCACCTATATTTTTGGTTCTTGGGTTTAGGATTAAGGAACTCAATGCTTTTACTAATTTGCGGAAGATGAAAATGCAGATAATCAGTAAGAGAATGCTGAAGTACTGTTTATAATTATACACAACAATCCTGGTACAAGCGTAAAAACAATTTCTGTAAACTTACCCAAATAGGATTAATTATAACAAATAGGATTAACAGATAATAACCATAGAAAATGTGAGAAATTCCCAATTAACAAAGCAAAGCTTATCGGCCAAACAAAAACAAACCTACCCTCATATTCAGTATATGTCTCCGACGAATCGGAATATGTCATAGTAAGTGAAAGGGAAGAACAAGAATCAAAGCAGAGGTTACTTGCAGCATGGTTTTAGTGATGAGAAAAGGCTGCTGGGACCTTGCGAGCACTGGTGTTGCACTACTTTTCTCAGTTGGGCGTCGATGACCTACATCTGCACCACCATTTGCCCCTTTCCCTCTTTGGTTCTTCCTTGAATCATCCGTTTCGTATTTTTCTCCATACACATTGACTGAGCCACCCACACCAGCACGCCTCACTACCACAGAACATTCAGTGCAACATTAGTCAGTGGTTCGAAAGATCAATCAACTGAATAATAAAGATAACTTCTTACCATGAATTTCTCTTCCTTCTACACCATGTTCGTGTTCTAACTCGTAGACGCTCGTGCGGGCCAAGATTGAAACGGCATGAGTGCATAAGATGAATAAGAAGCATGTAAGTAATTTCATTCCCATTCCTTTCATTTTGTTTAAGACTGCCAAAAGCTAAAGGTTTATGCCTCAGCCTTTAGGGATGCTTATATTATATATTCTCTAGTTTGTAGCTACACATATTTAGAGAATCTAAAAAGGAACTCAGCAAATGGTAGCGTCAAAGAGGAGCAATCCATCTGTTGGATAAGCAGGCACATTCCGAAACCCTACCATTTGTTCTTTGGAGGAATATTGTTAAGCTTAGCTATACTAATACATATATATTTGATAACGACATACTAATTTGATCAATGGGTAAAGGAAGCCTTCCCTTTTCTCTCTCAAAAAAACCTAATTTCTGAAAGCCTTCTTGTTGTCCGGGTTGAATATCAGAATGCGCAACGAATCAGACTAACAAATAATAAGAATATTATTAAACAAACGAGAATGCCGAAACGGCTACAAAACCCTAAGAGACAACATTGTAACTAACTTCTTCTCTAATGAATAACAAAGCACCCTATTTATAATAAACTAATCCTAATCTCTAACAAAACCTAATTCTAACAGGCTAAGCTCAGAAAACCAAACATTCAAATAAACCAAAATATTAATATTTTCCAACACCCCCGTCAAACTCATGGCGGTATACGACATGGGTTTGCAAACAAGCAGATGCGGACTGGCTCCGTTAGGTGGACAGACAGACAGGCAGGTTCCGCAACTCGAACAGACAGATAGACAGGCTCCACAACGTAGACAGACAAACATGCAGGCTCCGCAACGCGGACAGACAGGTGAACTAGCGAACTAGCAAACTGATTCTTGCTAGCAAGCTGATTCTGGCTGGCAAACTGGCTAGTATTGAGAGTATGGAAAGAAGCCGTCAATAAACGGACGAGATTTCCATACCTCAATTGTACCAACAAACGAATAATGCCAACAACTTGTGTGGCCCAAAAACAAACTTAACTATGTTTTTTTTCCTTGCCCGTGTGGGCCTAAAACTAACAGCAAACAATTTTCTTTTCCTTTTTTTTTCTTTCTTATTTTCTTTTCCATTTTTTTTTCTTACTTCCCTTTTCCCTTTTTTCGTTTTTCCTTCTTTCTGGACTGACAAACTGGAGATGCATGCCATACACCTCCAGCATTGGTGCGGTGACGGTACGATTGCTGGCGCGAAGCAAGCAAACTTCGACAAGGCACAGAGGTTCAAAGGCGGTCAAGCAGCGGGCAGTCAAGCTGCAGGGTCGATTAAGCGGTGGTGTAGGCGTGATGCTTAGGCACACGCATCCAAGACTATGATTTCTGGGTTTCATTCAAATACGATGATGGATCGGGGTTAAAAGTGGGTTTTGCAGCAACAGTGCGATGTGGGTTTGAGGACAGTCAGCAAGACGACGAGGCAGGATCTAGAGGAGGGGAAGGTTCAGGTTTTTGTTTTCTTTTGCAAACTAAACCAACGAAGAAAAACAAGAATACATATATACTGACAAACAGAATACCAACCCCACCAAGCAGATTAAATCCCGAAGGATTAAACCTACTCTGATACCAAGTTGAATATCAGAGTACGCAACGAACAAGACTAACAAATAATAAGAATATTATTAAACAAACGAGAATGCCAAAACGGCTACAAAACCCTAAGAGACTACATTGTAACTAACTTCTTCTCTAATGAATAACAAAGCACCCTATTTATAACAAACTAACCGTAATCTCTAACAAAACCTAATTCTAACGGGCTAAGCCCAGAAAACCAAACATTCAAATAAACCAAAATACTAATATTTTCCAATAGTCGGCCCCTTGTTTTGTCTTGGGATCGGCAGCAGGCCAATGTTGACCCCTCCTCACCATTTTCCCTCTTCCCCTTTCTTCCTTCCTACCCCGGCCCCGCCTCTACCCCTACCACCCCCTCCCTGTTTGTTGGTTCTCCAACTCCCCCCAATTTTTCCTTGTCCAAACCACCATGGTTGGTGATTTGGTTTTTCTTTTTAAGCACTTAGATTTCAACTATTTTCTTTCTTAGCATTTTGTGTCTCATGTTGCCATTTCCTTGAGTTTATCTCAAATCTGCTTTCTATGCCTTGTTCCTCTCTAAGCATTGCTCCTCACAGTGGACCTTTAACCATCTACCCTTGCTGCTCGGTTCGTTTGGTGTCTCTTCCTGGGATCTCCTCCGGAGGCTTACTTTGGTTGTTCGTAGCATTTAAAGTGCATTTGCACTATTTGGTAGAATTTGGGGAGCGCCCTCAATGCGGATAGCTTGCCTACCCCTATTTTCCGTTCATCCTTTTAGTTCTTTGGCCCTTCTTCTAGGTGATGGCGCCAGACTTGCGGTGGTGGTGCGGTTGTTTTGGTGGAGGTGGCTACTTTACATTTTCTTATCTAGGTTTTTCCATTTGTTAGCTGCTAAGGGCTGATCACTTTGGCCCTATTTCATTGTAATTTTGTTATGGAATTGAGCTTTTGCTTGGCCTTTTTGGACTCTATTTTGGAGGTATCCTTACCTTGTAATAGCTTTATCTTTCAATGAAATTTACTTTGATCGACAAAAATTAAAATACTCAGAATATAGCTAATGGGGAAGTATATTATTAACTTACGTGACTGCTAGTAATATGATCGTCTGATCATCTGATTCTGAAGGGAATTGAACACGTACCTAATACACTGGTTTTGGTATACCGCCTGGACTTTTACAATTTTCGTTTAATGTGAACACGTACAACATTTTTTTGTTGATGGTCTCTTGTTTTGCAGTTTCTTGCAACCTCCCTCTGCCTCATTGGTTATTCTATTACCTCATTTGGTTCACTGACAATGCACGTTAAATCGCCATTTGCTTTTGTTTTGCAGAGAAACATGAGAAGGCACAAAGAACAGAAACAAGGAAAACGGATTAAAGACTGACCAAAGAAAATCAAACATGATGCTTTCAACCAGTACAAAATTATCTCCGAGTAATATGATCATAATTTTGGGTACAACAATGATTAAATTGACAGTTCTGCAGTTCTAAGTGACATCGTTGTAATACAAACTGCAAAGTGGAATTTAACATAAAAAAGACACGTAATTCATGAAAATTTCCTAATTGTAAAGTTCATATCAATGACATCCTCCTCCATGTCCTCTGGATTCTCATTTCTCCTACTCTCCCGCTCAATATCCTTGCCACTGTTCTCTCTAATTGCATATTTGCAAGCATGCTGGCATGTTTCGGTTATGTCCGCACCACTTAAACTTGCAGTGTGTACTTGGAAAGATCCTCATTGACACGTCTTTTGGAAACTGGAGACTTCCTCAAGCAAGACTTGATTGCTTGATAGAAAAATTCCTCATTAGGGAGAGGGATGTAAATCAACTGAACCAGACGCCCTGGACGCAAAAGTGTTGGGTCTTTAATGTCAGATCTGTCAGTGGCCCCAACAAAAAAAAGCATCTTACTAGTGTGATCTTGCTCTAGTTTTGTACGTTCTATCATGTTTCGTGCAGTTGTTCATTGAATATCTTTTCGGTTTTTGGTTTAGGACTAAGGAGATCATTTTCATTTCCAATTTGCAGAAGATTTGCAGAGAATCAACAAAAGAATGTTAAATATATGTTTATAACACTACAATCCAATTACAAGCTTACAAACAATTTTTGAAAACCTGCCTGCAAAAATATAGATATCAGCACTCATCAACTTCCAAGCTTATTAATTGTAACAAATAGTACGACCTCTTCAGCCTTCTCCCTTATCTCTATTCCTAATATCTCTCATCTTGTCTCTGTCAAACTTTTTAATACCAACTATCTTGTGCGGGAAAGCCAAGTCAAACCTTTCTTGCTAGGCCAGAATCTTTGGCGCTTTGTTGATGGATCTAATCCATGTCCTCTCTCTACTTTATCCTCTTCTTCAAGTGATGACAAAACTACTACTTCTCCACCACTCAATCCTGAATACACATCTTGGTTCCAAACCGATCAATGCCTTATTAGTATTCTTCGTGCCACACTATCTGAAACCATTCTTCCTTAAGTCATTGGGTTCTCCACTTCAAAAGATATATGAAATTGTCTTCAACAAAATTTCTTGCAGCAATCACTAACCAATGCTACCCAACTAAAATTTCGTCTTTTCTCTCTCACCAAAGGCTCAAAAACTATTTCTGACTACCTTGCTCAGGCCAAAAGTTTGGTTGATGAACTCATTGCTATCCAAGAGCCTGTGTCCAATTCTGACTTGGTTACTTATGTACTTCATGGTCTGGGACCTGATTACCAGATGCTTGTGACGGCTCTTCTGAACTTTCCACCACTTCCATCATTTTCGGACCTCCGCACCAAACTACTTGCTTTTGAGGGGCAACAAGCTTTTGCAGCCCCACTCAATCCTACAAACTCACATGCTGTCATGATAGCGACACGTCCACTGCGTGGCCAGCACCTTTTATGTGCTCGTGATCCCTCTGCCTAAAGGCCACCCATCCGTCCCTTTAATGGGCCTGCACAAAACTTCTACCGTCAACAGCGACCTGCCTTCAATGTTCCAGTTCTTATGGGTCCTCCTCCACCTCGTCCACCGGTCCAATGTTGGCATTGCCATCAATTTGGACATGTTCAAGCCAAGTGTCCTCAATCTCGTCCCTTTGTTGGCATGCATGTTGCTTCCTCTTCCAATCCTAACTGGTATTGGGACTCCGGTGCTACCAATCACATGACACATGATGCTAAGTTGTTTTCCCTCGGTGCCTCCTATACACCAACTGACAATGTTGTTATTGGTAATGGTGACACCCTCCCCATCACTCAGTCTGGTAATGTTTTTCTTTCTTCTGGCACTTATGTTTTTCGTCTCTTTGATGTTCTTCGTGTTCCCTCTCTTCATAAAAATCTTTTATCAGTGGCTCAGTTCACAAATGATATGCATGTAAGTATTACTTTCTTTCCTTGGGGTTATCACATTCGTGACTTACAAACTGGTGTTCTTCTATTTCAAGGCCTATGTAAAAATGGTCTTTATCCCATCTTTCCTAAACTCTTGACTGGGCCCAATACCGCTTTCTCTTCTGTTGCTGTGTCTTCGTCTCTTTGG